AAAAGAAAACTCGAGCCGTCATTCTTATTCTCTGTGTGGATCACCATTGGAGGCTGGAAAATGGGACAGCTTGAATTGCAGATCGTGATCATTGGAGTTCGAGAATCAGTAAAAGAGTTTGCAGAATTCATCAAATGTATAATTCTCAACACAATTTCTATCTAAATACATTGCAGATCCTTAGTAGGAATTGAAAATTGTTTTATTTTCGCTGTGCATGATTAAGTAAATTCCCATCACTTTAAGAGTAAACAATGTGTCTTTTTAGGATATGCCGACCAACATAGAGGTTATAGATGTCTTGATTTATGTTCTGGTCGTGTCTATGTGTCAAGACATGTGACATTTGGTGAGACTTCATTTTAGTGGCAGAAAAGAATATTCTCAAGTCCAGCAAGTAGTGACCCGACTGGTACGACTCCTAACTCAAATTGACTTCCAGTTATACAAGTACCTTATCAGTCAAGTACTTCTCCTAATCCCTCTCCACCTACCATTCCAATCTCATCCATTTCACAATCAAACATAAACATGAATACAGAACATGCCCAAGCATCTTCTCCTATTTCTCAGTAACAAAATCTGCAGCATAATGAGGACTTACCCGACTCACAATCTACAAAATTGCTCTTACCAATGTAAATCCTCCCTTAGACTCGATCATAGGTCTCTCTTCCCCACCTATTAGCTCCCTACAAAGCTTTCCTAACGTAGAACTCAATTTCTACCAAAATATTCCTTTGCCTATCCATCATGAGATTATTACTCCATCAAAAACTGGCAACTCTCGACCAAAACAATTCCCTGAATATAAGGCCTTTTACTCCACTTGACACCGTATTTATGTTCTTTCCAGTGTATTTACATAAACTTAACCAACATGCTTAAGCAGCTTTAAGTTCAGATTAGCATGCTGCTATAGGCAATGATTTTGATGCATTAATGGTGAATGGAACTTAGTCCCTTTGTCCCAGACCACTTACAAAACCAATTGTCTGCAATAAATTAAAAAATGGCCTGATGGGAGCATTGAACGTTATAACACACGCCTAGTGGCAAAAGGTTTTGA